CTTCTGGGTCTTGGAGGTCCCTCCAAGACCCTATAAGACCTATAAGACTAATAATGAAAACCTTTTTCTCTACGCGTCGTAGCCATCGACATCAACTTCATGGCTATTCCCATAGCTTTCGCTTTCGTAACAGTGAGACAGCTTAACTAATTGGTGTATTTCTGAACTTTTTTAAGAATGTGATTGGGAGCTAAAGTGTGTGCTTCCACAATAGATGACTATCTTGCAATTGTGTCTCCATTATGCTAAGTTTTCCTCCACTCTTATAGCTGCTTATTTGTGTGCATATCATTAACGTGATCAAAAGAGTAAGCATGTGTACCATACTATCTAGAAAATTTTAATGTTTGCAGAGATGGCAACTGATGCTGCAGTACTTTAGAATGGTGGGGAATGTTTGTAGCTCAGGTGGATGGTCTTGGTTGTATAGGCTGCAGTACTTCTTTCGTATGTTGTACACAAGAATTTGGAGAGGTTGGTGTCTTTGAAGGTCTCATATTTTTGATAGATTAGTAAGTTGTCTTGTTCAAATAGTGTCTATGGATGCAGCATTTTACAGGTATTTGTTGTCCTACCTCTTACCTAGAAGGCAAAAGTGGGCTTCTATTTACCGTCTGCTGTGCATAATTTTCGAACAAAATAACACCGAATTTATCGAAACCATACACTGAATCTCCATAAGTTGTCCCGGAAAATGCCAGTAGGTTGTACAATACTAAACATTATGCTGCATAGCGGTTACTGAATTCGGGGGTGTATTCAGAAGTTGTTGCCGCATTGTAACAATAAATCTGAACTGGGTGATCATGCTGATAGACTCCAATCCCGAATATCCTGTAGCAGACATTTCATCAGGTTGTTCTGAAGAAGAAATAAAAGTGATAACTGAAGCAGTGAAAATAACTGTGGAAATAACTCGAACGTTGACCTAGATGCCAATGTCGACGACCAGATGGGGGTAGTGGAGTTGGTCACTCGGAACTCTGAAGAGATGGACCATGTAGGCGAAAACGAAGAGGAGGATTATGTCTACAGAGAAGTTTGTGAGGTCTGCTTCCAAATTGATGCACCAACCTCCATTTCACATGCCGGTACATAGATAACATGCCGTTGTCATGCTATTATTCCATATATTCTTTTCATCGAATCTGCACTCAAGAAGCTTTCGTCTTGAGTGCTCTGCATGTGGGGGTAAACTCTGGCAGGAAGGCAATGCATTTGAGAATTAGGACTTTCATTAAGACAGGTAATTTGCACATTTATCCCTCACAGCTGTGCCCATTTTTTTTCACATTTCAGATGAAGACAGACTGCAGCATAAGTAAATTTATACTTCGTGACGGGAAGAGAACGAAAAGAGGCCCATCTCATGGCCAACACTAATGTGACTTGAAGGATTTCTTTCCCTCTTTTAAATGAAACTATTTCTTCTAGACAGAATTTTCTAGATATGGCTGTCTTCCAGAATATGCAGTGGTGTTGCAGTAACTGCTCGGTCCCTTCCAAGTCAGAAATCACAGAATAAAATTTGTGACTCATCAGTGTTAATCAGCTAAAAAAAATGTATAGTTTCATTTCACTGATTTCGTTGTGATTAACGGAACGATATCAGTTGAAGCGATGTAAGCAAGCGTTTCAGTTACACTTATTTCCTTGGCAGTACAACTGAAATCCTAATTGTTTACTGGATGTGTAACATCAACGAAAAAACGTCCGGTGCATCATTTGCATTACTACTTAAACGGGTCTCAATTACGCAAGCATCTTGTTCCATGCAGTCGAAATTGCATATAAAAACATGTGTTCATTTATAAACTGGAAATTCACGGTCTTCAAAGTTGTAACGACTATTAGCTGTTCGTGAACATGCACGTATTTTCACTTACTGCTGATAAACTGACGTAGTACCGTTATTCCAAGTGATGAAGTGTTTATTTAACTTGGAGCGTGGAGTTAGAGTTTTAACATTCAGACAATGTTAATAACGAATGTACTAGAACCCAGCTGAGTGCCAAGTCTCTTTTCGTCATCATCAAAGTATGATGCAATGTAATCTAGCCTATTTGGAATATTTTGCTGAAGAAGCTATGGCCTACACAGTGAAATGTACACAGAAATTTTGTCCGTGTTCTAACGCACTGGGATTATAGTACATACACTTTAATAGCGATAAATGGTCGAAAGTCGAGAATATGAAAAATATCAATCCATTCACATCCATCATATAAATGACGGGCTTGCCAAATAATGAAGCATAATCCTTACGCGTTGACTGCTTTTCTAAATAGATATCATCAGTACAGATTGAAACATCGTTTCCTCCGAAATACGCCAAGCTGACTAAATAACTGATTAAATGAGGCTTGATTTTTTTAACCGTTGAAACCCAAGTAAACATCACTAACGTTTGTTCACTAAGCTGCTTAATATCCTCCTGAGTAGTGTTCATTGTTGATACATATTAGTTAACATGTGCTTATCCGAATATCCAAATGTATAGAGAGATGAATATTAACAAAACATTTGTTAAAATGACTTAAGTGAATTATCTTCAGCAATGAAAACATTTCCCAATACACTTTTATTGTAAATCAAGCTGTTCTTGATAGTCATCTCAAGTTTACATATACGATGAAATTAGAATGCTACTTGAGACAGCCTATTCCTGCTTCTCGTAAAACTTTGGAACGATAACCGTAACTCTAGCAACGAATGAAATAACCGATTACACTTCTCTATTTTATGAATGACTGCTGAGATTACTGAGCATCGCTGAGGATAGCATAGAAACTAAATGTAGGTGATTAGTTTGAAGCAATTAATCACCTTGATGAGGTTCAATTAAACAATACATTAAGAAAGAAAGGTTGTTATCATTCTCTTCTACACTTGTTAAAGATGTACTATTCTGTACTACATTAGCTCGATTAAAAGTGAAGTAGTAAAATCCTTATGATGAATTCTTCAGAATAACTGTCAGTAGAAACTTCGATTTGCACATAACCTTTAATAAGTGGACATGCAGCAGGCGTAAGGTTGTGGAATATATAAGTGAAGATAATATAACCACCCAGTTCAGATTTATTGTTACAATGCGGCAACAACTTCTGAATACACCCCCGAATTCAGTAACCGCTATGCAGCATAATGTTTAGTATTGTACAACCTACTGGCATTTTCCGGGACAACTTATGGAGATTCAGTGTATGGTTTCGATAAATTCGGTGTTATTTTGTTCGAAAATTATGCACAGCAGACGGTAAATAGAAGCCCACTTTTGCCTTCTAGGTAAGAGGTAGGACAACAAATACCTGTAAAATGCTGCATTCATAGACACCATTTGGTGGTCGGACGGGATGGAAAATGACACTTTAAAAGAATTATTGACCTTGAAGTAAATGGATTTCATCTTCTTAGATATACAATTATATGTATTATTCTCGTTCTGCACAGAAAGTGCTTCCTAAATATAGTTGCACGTAGACGAGTTATCTCCTCACCATTTGAGCTGTTTAATGGCATTTAAATAATTACATTTTTCTAGTTTCCGTTGAAATGACCTCATGTTGATAAATCTATTCAGTGGAAAACGTATAAAGTATTGTACAAGAGTACAGCTTGAGCTCTATAGCAGACTACAATCCTTTATTTGAGATAACAGTTATAAAATAATTACTGCTTAACCATTAGAGCACATTTTCTCTCATTGTCATATCAAAGCAGCCATCCAGCTTTGAAACTCCTTTTCTGTAGACGAATAGTTCCTCAACCTTTTGTTTTTATTGGCAACAGAGACTTCAATTGTCTGCAGTATATGAAGAAGAATTTTTGTTGCTTGTGTTAGGCTTTGGATCAATGAATCAAGAATATATAGGCATTTTTGATACAGCAAGTTTGTGTGCTAATGTGTCAGTCAGTATGGCACTCGAAGCAATTATAAGTGAGCCCTCTACTGACCACCAACTGAGAAACAGAACTAGAGTATCAATCGAAGAAATTATACCAGGGATGTAGTTATGCCTAACTTCCGAATTCTTCAGATTTTCAGACAAAATATATCAACGTACATATGATGGATACCCCAATAGCAGTAGATGTATCTGTGAACAGTTGGTAAGAAATGTCATTGGGAATATTTTAACTCACTCCAAAATATGGTGACGATATGTAGATGACGTATTTACTCTGATGAAATCAGACCATATCCTGCGTTTCTGACACATAAATCTGGTAGTAAATAAAAATCACTTCACTTGCAAATTTGGAAAGCGTGAAGGATAATTATCTATGCTGGAATTAAAAACAAACGAATAGAAGATGGCAGTTTAGGTCTCAGTGTTTAGTCATAAAAGGGTACCTGTATTTTGTATTATTTCAGTGTGTACCTCTCAAAATCGGCTTAGTAAATAGTCTAAGTAATCGAGCCAAAAGTTTGACTAGTAACTCAAAATTTAGAAAAGGAACCTGTGAGTATCTAGAAGCTATTATTACTTAGTAACCACCCTTCCAAGTCTATTACTAGTAATTTCAAAGTGTCTGGCACAGAATGCAAACCTTTTATAGTATTGCCAACATCTAGAAAATTCTATTACTAATAAGAGTACGCAAATGAAGAACTGTTGAGCTACAAAGAAAAAATTTATAAATTTTTTGACTACTTTGATACGATTATGAGGAACGAACTGTTTTCGAATTGTCATGGAGAAAGCAATTCTTTATCAGTGTCATATTAAACAGCTAGTGTGATATTGTTTTTAACAAATGGACCTAATAAGACTTCATTTACAACATATATTTGCCCAATTTTTCATCTTTTATAGATTTGTTGATGATCAACTTAAACTCAGCATATAGTATCTCCTGGTAATCGAAATGCAGTGTCCGACAAGGGTCCAGTTATTTTTTAAGGACTTTTCAAATGGTTATTTAGATAGTAAGGTTGACTTTACTTCATCATGAATGATGACCAAATGAAAACACTAATATTTTTTTTAACCCAGGTATATCCCTTGAAGAGATAGAAGCTGCTCGTAGAGATCTAGAAATGCAAATGCTTTCAGATCTTAAAACGATACGTTCAAAAGGAGGCAACTTGAATACGCTGGACACACAAGGTGCTGCAGCCGTAAGTGTTCTCTGATTTATTATATTAATCTCTGCTAAATCACATTTACCATCTAACTCCACAAATGTGATCCATATTAATTTACTGTACACAGTAGTATTGCCAATGAATGAAAATTTTTTTGAATGACATGAAATTAAGACTAAGGCTTAAATATATGGGCCAGTATTATGAACTAATTTATATTACCGCAAATTTACTCTTTATAAACCAAGAATTTGTTGGTGCGATTCATTTATTCTAAATTAATTACAGAAAGCGTTTAAATTGTACGGGCTAGTAGTCCCAAATAAGCTACCATTTTATGAGCTACTGTTTTGTCGATAGATTACTGGATTCTGTCTACGTTTAAAAAATTGTCATTGGAGAATTTATTTATAAAATAAATTAACGAACAGGAAATAGGAAATGAAATATGGTATTTTACATGAAACTGTATTCATTATGTTACTCGTAAAACATGCATATTAGCATATTAAAATTTATTGTTCACAAGTAAAATATTATACAAACCTCTGACATTAAGATTTTACACTAGTCTCGAAAGAGTTAATAAATCAGAATTAGAAGAATATAGATATTTATCTTAAAAATACCTATCCGACTTATCAGTCAACAAATAGTAAACTACGCCATATGGTATAATATTAAGCTTATTCTTTTTATCTGGTTTGCACTACGGTCACCTGGTTAGGCTACTTAGTATTTACACGAAACCGTATATTATCGCGTAATGACCCGAAATCGCCACACCAAGGTGGGAGGTACAAAATTAAAAGCAGAGAAATAAACAAGAAAGTGGTCGAAGCGGTCCAAAGTCTCAGAAAGAGGAAACTGATGAAAGGAACAATAATGAGATTCGGTATGTTGACTAAGTTAATGTGCAGATGGATCTACGTCACTGAGATTTATTCTCAGATATACTAAATCAGATCTTCAACCACAGACTTCTGTCTTAAAATGGCTCCCAAATGGTGAGTCTGTCTTTCCCTATGTGACTCGAACCAACAGTACCAACCAGATCCCAATTCAGATACGGCTACGTAATGGGATAGACAGCTATAAGTCATGCAAAACACATATCCCAGCCATACCAGTAAAGGAAGGTTTCAAACCAATATCTTAATATCCATAATAATGAACTACACTACAGCGTAACTCACAATATCGCCAAAGCAAGCAGAAAAATAACTGAGAAGCTAGAGTGGTTGAAAAAGTAAATCATCAAATATCTTCTCAATTCCTTCCCCAAAATTTACCGAACGGTAATCGACACAAAGATTCACCGTAAAGGAGATCAGCATTCAAACACCATGTTGGAGTTCAATGGTTCAGAGTTTCCAACTTCTGTCAATTCGCGATATAGCGTGACTACCACCACCCACGAGGTCTTCAGATGGCATCCGCTTCCCTTCCGACTGGTTGACCGCACACGTCACGGCTTCTCATTACAATTTCATGATATCCATGTGGAAGCATGTCAGTAATCACCACTATACACTAATGTATTTTTGAGATGAATGGGGATTCCAATTTCCAGATTGTATTGATGACGGAGTGACATTAGTTGGAGAATCATTGAAGAGGCGGTAGGAGTAGACAGTTTTTTTGACTAATTCGCCCTCCTTTTATTATTACTTACTATTTAGGTGTGTAGGCATATGTCTATTTGCGTTGTTTTTTCTGCAGGAGCTTTTTCGCCCTTTCTTTCCTTCATCTTTTTTTCTGTGTTTGTCTTTTTTGTGTCCTGTGTCTCTTTTCTAACCTTTAGTGTATTTTTTAGCTTGTTCGGTATCGTTTTTCTTTCTGATTTTCCCCTCTATTTGTTATCTTTTTTTAATTGCGAGATTACTTTTTCTTGACTGTTTAAAAGTGTAATTGTGACATTTTTTTGTGTTTTGCTCACTTATCTGCTGCCTGCACTGTTACGTATTTCATCTTATTTGGTTTTCTTTGAAATAAATGTTATGAATTAATTTTGTTTCTTACTGGAGGCACCAAACGGACACTGCTTGATTCTCATTAGATACGGCCATTTTGAACATTTGTAATTTCACTTTACTTTGAATCCAACTATGAATCTGAAGCCACCAGCGCCAGATTATTGAGTGTAAAACTTTTCATACACTCTCTTCTCATAGGGAAGGTAGCATCGGGATGAACAGCTGATCATTTTCATGAAACACGTTTCTATCGTTACATTCCTATTTTATCAAGTGTGTGACTGAGATGGTTTGAATATGTACTGCGCATGGCAAGCCACCGCTTACCTTGACGTACCATGCTGAGAAAGCTGGATTTGTTCGATAGGAGGTTCAGAGTGGCCAGACAAAGTCCTGAATCCAGTCGGTACAGTCCCTAACTGTTGGTTTGAGTTGTGTAGGGAGATGTAGACTCCATGGTTAAGGTCCCGAGACGAAAGGATTCAGCAGTTGAGAAATATTCGTGACATGTCTGAAAATCGGTCACAATGACGCAGATGTATTCTCTCCTTGACATCTTCTAAAGCTTGAAAATTCACACTAACCTTTATCTTCAGATTGTTTATTCTCTCACACCTCTTTATCTACTTTGATATCACTCTTTTCCTATCCATTTGTTCTTTGTGTGAAGTGTGGCAACTTGGACCGATGCACTTGTGTGTCAGGTTCTACGTTGACTTAGCCAGTCAGTCAACTGAATTCAGCGGATTTCGTGCGTCAGTACTAATGACTACTAAGTGTTTAGTAAACCTTCTAATGTAAAATCTATCCGAAGACCTGTGTGATTTCAAACCTTTCACAGGATACACATTTATCGTGTGAGATGATGCTTTGAACCTCATAATCCTGTGAATTGACTTTTTCCAAAATTGTTTTTCGAATTTTAGATTCACATTGCTGCAGCTAGTGGATATTGTGAAGTTGGTTTGTTCTTATTACAGTCTGGTGTACACCCAGATAGTTTGGATGCAGAGGGATGGACCGCTTCACATGTTGCTGCCTGTTGGGGTGAAGTAAGTTTTTTTTCCAATGATAACATTGAAAAAAGTCTAACTAGAAAGTCTTTTTAACGTTTAGATAAATCCTGGAACTTTTACTGCTCCTCTGAACTCAGATTTTTGTTAGCGATATCCGAAATCTCAGTTTATGTTATTTTCAATGCGGTTTAACTAGGAAATCTATGTAACTAATGCGCTTAAGTGTAACAAAATCAGTTAGTTTTAATCCACAATAAGTGAGGTTCATCTGAAAAAGAATCTAAAGAATTTGAGGTCTTCATTAGTACCAAAATGATGCATAAGTTTACTTTTTTAAGAGGATTTAATCAACAAAGTCTCTTTGTACAAGAGATACGTTGATGGTATCTTAATTATATGTAACAAATATAAGGATGCGAAAAGTCTTCTAGATCGACTTAACACCGTACACAGCCATATTACTTTATCATGTAAAGCAGACAGTCAGCTCCCTTCCAGTGAAGTAGTTTTAACTGGAAGGGAAGATGGGTCGGTAAAAAGATCAGTCTATAGAAAACCCATATGGAACGGACAGCACATTAACTTTCATAGTTTCTGTCAAATCAAGTACAAATGAGGTTCAGTAAAATGCTTATTCGAAAGGACACAACATATCTGCATAGCAGCAGGTGATTTGCTCATCAAAGTTTTGAATAGGGTTTGTCTTCATTGATTGATATACGTTTCTGTCCATGAGTAAGTCATCTGACTACTTGATGTAGTCTTATTCATCCATGACTAGTACAGTGAGCCCTTCGCCAGCTAGAATTGTAACGGAGTTCTTTTTGTTCTTCAGTTTCTTAAAGCTCTCTGTTCTTCACTGGTTAGTTGAGTATCGTTTTGCTTCTGCCTGGCTAGAGGTATGATTATTTGTCATATTTCCCGTTGCGTCTCAGAGTTTAGTCCTGAAGTCTTCAGTGGTGACTGTAGGATGTTTATGTAGACTGATTCGAAGAAGGTAGAGAAAAGAAGAATACTTGATGATTATTTTTCAAAAGAACGGCTAACCACGCAATCTCATCAAAATATGTTTACATCACTTGTCACCAGCAGAGAAGCCAGGCTCGAAAACTAACGAACGGATTGTCCTTATCCTACTTAAAGAACGTCACCGAGATCACGACTAGATTATCAGAGCCTTTTGGAATCGCTATATCCCAAAAGCTCAGAAAGCCTCTTCCCTCTGTGTTATGCAGCCAAAAGATGCAATAGGAAAAGAAGACAAATCAAACATTATCTACAAAATAAACTGCTAAAACTGAGGAAAACACTACATTGAACACAGTGGTCGCCCTCTTCTCATCCGTCTACATAAACATCAACTAGCAGTGAAGCGTCATGACATGTCTTCGCTCATATCAATGCATACAGACAACTGTGGACATGAATTCGACTGGGAATATGTGAAAATTCTGGGTACAGGAAATACAAAGAATGCAGAGAGTTTTAGAAGCTTGGTATTCAGATCAGTCAGCAATCAAGCGACACACTGACATCGACCCAACCTACCGACTGATAAGAAAAAAAAGAGGTAGAATTTCAGGTCATCATGACAATCAATCAAAAAAACCTTGGTAGAAACAACCAGTCGCACACTAGGTCATCAGGACAAGCTACTAAGTAAATTGTGGAGGAAACCTTGAATCACACTTCTTCCTGAAGTTTGTACTGTTGATGTTATCTACAGTAACAAGGAATAAACAACCCAGCTCAAAGAACACGATACTATCAAAATTATCCTTCTGAGCTACAGATATTTTCTGTCATGTTCGAACTTCATTGCCCGAATACATCTGATTTCTCAGATAACCCCTATCTTATTGCATTATGCAAGTTTATCAAACATTTCAAATATTCTGACTGTTCGAATGGACAAACTCGCATATGACATACTGCTTCTATCAAACGAACATAAGTAAACGACGCGAAAATCTGTAGCTGCGCTATCTATAGTGTAGATACGGTTGTCTCCTTCTCTCTATCGACAAATTATACATGCTCCGCTCTTTTTATAAGTGCACAATTTCTGCCAACCATAGTTGAATGGAACGACGTGACGAAGTTGACACACCCAGGAGTAGACACGTCTATAGATATTTCGTGATAAATCATAAATATATGGAATCATCAACCCAAAAGTTTCGAAAGATTCAGCAGTAAGTAAAGCATTCTTCTTCATTCTAGATAAAAACAGAATTAGCCGCTTTTAAATCTGAAAAGTACAACGTGGTAACTAGCTGGATACTGTCGACAATGGAGGTTTATTAGTATACACCCCAGTCGGTTTACAAGACAATATGACTGACTGCGTGCATACTAAGGCGAAACAATTAAAACTTTCAAACACCAGGTTTCTGGGGTTAACTTTATTCACCTCAGGTTAGTATTCATCACGGAATGACATTAGCTGGAGAGGCATTGAGAGCCTGGAAGCAGTAAACTGTTGTTTCGTCTTAGTGTGGAGCTCCTCAGCGGTGTGCACCAGCGACCTCGCCAGGGATCGAACCTACGACCTGCACGTTACGAATGAACCACTGGTTCGGAATCTAAGGGTTCGGTTTTTCTACTTCTGCGAGTTCATAATGTACCGCCAAATGAATCCAACGCCGTCACTGAGTGACCTTTCTCATGTACGGCTTGGTTTGCTCCACCGGTCACGACCTTTCATGAAAAATTCCAGAATATCATCTCGAATCAAGTCACTTATGAGCACTGGACCGTAAGTAATTCACTTTGGAGGTTTGTGGCGATTTCTTTTGTTAATCTTAAGTTAAAATTCATCACTGGTTGACATCAGCTGGGACTATAAGATAATTAGTCGTAGCAGTTGCTGAGAAGTATTACCATTACTCAAAAATCTCTTGTCTGGCACCAGGTGACAAAATGATGTGAGTTAAACTGTAACAGTAACAGTTCTATTGTTTATTGACTATGCATTTTAGAGAGGATTTCAGCGAGATTTCATTTGGAAATTAGTTACTTTTTATCGAAACACTATTTAAAGCCGTTACAAGTTCTCTTGATATAAGTGTGAAGAAACAAATTGCTACGTATGAGCAATTTTGTTAGATTCTGTACACGAATAATACTAAATCTGGCAAATGACAAATGAAAACTATCAGAAAGTACAAAAAATACCTCACTACACAATGAACGATCTTGTGGATAAGCGACAAAAATAAGAAAAGTAAATGAATTTTCACTATACACATACCTACAGACACATGACTGGTTTCGGAATTTGCATTCATTCCACAAAAATGAGACAACCGACAAACATATGTAAGGACAATATACATTCGCCTAAGATAATTACATCATACCAGTTAAGGTATCAGTTAGTCAGCAGAAATCCTGAATATAAAAATATCACTTAACACAGTAGTAATACTGGCATAAATAAATGCTAAAAAATATTATTCTTATTTTAATGTCTACCTTCAGTTTCCAGACGAATATGGGGCATCAGCAGCACATCACCATTCCACTCCCTTCTCTGCAGTCTTTTTAACCTGGCCCCACCACTTCCCAGAAGCTCTCATTTTTTTCCTCACATGATCCCTCCATGTCACTCTCAACTCGGGTGCCCAACTCGTCGTTTCCCCCTTTACATTCCACTCGAACGCCTAGCCTGACGTGTGATGTCCCCAAATGGTCTCCTCAGTGTATGCACAATCCAACTCATCTCCACTTTCTTCTACATATTTGTTGGGTGATGGGTTCTTGGTTGGTTCGTCGCCAGCCAGAGTTCCTTGTTGTTTATTCTTTCTGGCCATCTGATCTTCACTGTCAGTATCGAGTGAGCGTGGGCTGTAGCTGTTGATGTATGTCTGTAGTTTGTTGGAAATGCTTTTCGTGATGCGCCGAGTTTCTGAACCATATAGTAGCACTGGCTTGACTGGATTAGTGTTGAAAATCCGGATCTTGTTGACTCTTTGTGCTGAGTGTAGTGGAGTGCAGTGGATCTCCACACTGACTTCGGATTAAGGAAGACCTGTCTTGCCTTCGCGATCCTGGTTTTGACATCCTCATCTGTGTCGCCTGTAGTTGAGACGATTCTGCCTAGGTAGGTGAAAGAGGCAACTTCCTTTAGGTTTCTCCCTTTGATTGTGATTGGTGCTTGTTGTTGGTTGAGTCTTTTCATCACCTCTGTCTTCTCTTCGCTCACTTGAAATCCCGTATTCGCTACATCGCCTCTTCTGTCAACTTGTTAGTTAGCGCCTGTAGATCTTCGAGTTTGTGCGACATTAGACATAAACCATGACCGACGAAACCCCAATCTTCCAGTGTCTTGTCATCGTTCCAGTCAGCGTATGCCCCTTTTCTCGCTCTTCACAGTTTGCTGCATGATCCAGTCCAGCAGACCACGATCCGGAAGATCATAGGTGATAGATAGTAGGCGGCAACCTTGTCTTACTTCTGTCTTCACTTCAAAGGCGCCACTCAGCATTTCATTGTGGATCACTTGGCATGTGGCATCATCTCGTCATATAGCTGCTGTTGGATGAGGTTGATAAATGTTTGTCTCACTGAAACCGTAGTGTTGAAACAGCTGGCAAATTACTTGTCGGTTGACGCTGTCGAAGGCCTTTTCAAAATCGATGAAGTTGAGGTAGAGTTGAGTTGACTGCCATTCTATGCTTTGTTCAATGATGATGCGTAGGGTTGCAATTTGATCGGCACATGATTTGTTTTTCCTGAGGCCAGCCAGCCAGCCAGCCATCCTGTTCCGGTCGTAATTTTGAATGCAGAGCATTTGTAGTCTCTCCAGGATGATGTGGCTTAATATTTTGCTTGGTGTGGACAACAGCATGATTCCACGCCAGTTCTTGCAAACACTTGAGTCTCTCTTCTTTGGGAGTTGGACAAGGTAGTCCTTCTTCCAAACAACCGGTAGGTACTTTCCCTTCCTTCCATGCAAACCTTCTGCAGTAGTGGTGTCAGCATGTCCGCTGCTGATGTCTTTGTGCCTGTCTTCAGTGCTTCTGGAGGAATTC